CGCTCATAAATCATTCAAGCATTGGTAAAATGTGTACGTTAACGCTTCATTTCAAATAATGAACGTTTAAATTTTCGTTCGAGTTTTTGTAATCTTTGATTTGCTATGAGAGTCATTATTATCATGCATTGCACAGTAGGACTCATTTACTGTTGAGTGTAGGCCTCTCATAGTTTATGCCGGTCCATTTACGGTCCACGGTTATATTAGATTCATATGGTCGTATTTTTTCCGACAAAAAATCGGACACCAATTGTCAAGCGGTCTTTTCCCGTTTCCATATTACTTATTTGGCAGTAATTGTGCCGAACGGATTGTCGGACGGAGAATGAGAGCTAGACCCCCTAGACCCCCTGACTTCTGCGAGCACTAGAATGTAAGATGAGAGTAAATAATAACACCTGCGGTAACTAAATTCTTTTATTCCATTTTTGTGATGATATTAAAAAACCCGTGCAACTGGTTTTCTTCATTCTTGTTGTGACCTATTTGAGGTCAACTTGCTGTGTATCACTTAACTGCTGATGGAGTGACAGATGGTGAGTACGCACACTTTTGTTTATCTGATGTCATTTGTTGTGAACGACACTTGATCAGTGCGGACGAATGAAGCTATCTTAAACTAACAACATTCGTACTGTTAAGTATCACAGGCATATTGTGAGGGCTTCCTCATCTAAAAATACGAAAACATACCATATTTAAACTTAAAACTAATTTGTAAATAATCTGTATCTACATAAACCCGCCTTTTTTTTGTGCCCAATACAATTTTAACCTTTTTTTTCTTATAAGACTATATAATAACGTGATAGAGGCTGGATTGTCATTTTGCGTAAAATTATACAGTCATATAATTATTAATACAAAGATCGAACACTCAGAAAAAATTCCTTCGATCCGGCCGGATTCGAACCGACGTCTTCTAGCATACCGTGCCAGATGCTATACCAACTAAGCTACGGAACGAACCAGCGGACCTCACGAATTTTTCTATGTGCTTATTGTCGTGTCTTTGTATTTGGTTTTTCGACGACTTTTTAGTCATAGCGCCATCTATGAAAGTTTTATCACCCAGTAGATACCTTTGTACATAAAAATATAAAAATTTAGTCCTACATATAATTGTTGTCGACAATTCTATCGATAAACCGTGAAAGGATATACATTTTCAAGAAACGCATGAATATTGACTGTTATGACGTGGTTACGACACTTTTTTTTTATACATGACAGGCAAATGACTACATTCCAATGATTAACAAAAAAACACTACAAATGGATTCAGAAATGAATTTATTGTTTCTCAAAATATTCTCCGATAACGTTAATGCACTTTTTCATACGAATGAACCAATTTTGAAAACATTTATGCCACTCCTCCGTGACAATCTCCGAAACATATTTTTTTAACCGCGTAACTGGTTCTTAATTTTAGGAAATAAATAAAAGTCACAAGGTACCAGGTCGGGACTGTACGCGGGATGGCTCATAAGGTCAATGTTGTTCACCTTCAAAAATTCATTTGTCTTTCTGGCCGCGTGAGAAGCATTATCGTGGTGCAAGATGATACGGCGTTTACGGTTATTTTTACGGACTTTGTCAATAACTTCCGGCAAACAAATTGTCATGTACCAATCACTATTCACGGTACAACGATTCTCCTAAGCAACAGTATCCACATGTCCAGTTTTATTAAAAAAAGAAGCAATAATCCGTTTAGAGGCACTTTGTACGCGCGCCACTTTGGTTGGTTTCGACTTATCTTGAACGACCCATACGCTCGATTGCTGCTTTGTTTTGGGATCGTAACTATAAATCTATATTTCGTCACCTGTTACTATGTCCCACACCAAATTTGACGCTCCTTCGTTGAATCTGGTAAGCATGACGTTGCACCAAGTGACGCGATCCGTTTTTTGAGCCTCAGTAATTTTTTTTTTTAATAACGCACACACTCAACATAGCCCCGCACTAGGGAAACATGTGTGTCCGTGGCACCCGCGACAAATTACACCCAAACACACGAGAGAAATAATTGTAGGCCATACAACTATTTCTCCCGGCCCGGGAATCGAACCTGGGACCTCTGCGTGGCAGTCCGGCATGGTATCCGTTCGGCTACGGAGGCAGTTGAATTGTGTGGGATCCACCGAGAGCACAGTTTTTTCACACCCAAATGTTTGTGTAATATTGACTGTATATAACTCATGCCTATGCCTAAAGATGCCCGAATCTCATGGTATGTCACATGTCTGTCTAATTACTTTTTAAATATTGTTTATGTAAGTGGCCAGTTCAGAAAACTTATAGTGCGCCCTATGTGCTTATGTTACACGATAAAAGTTTGACGATTTACGATTTGTGAACGCATTTTGATGATTCGTTTTTGTTGGAAAAAGGGTACCACAGTATTGGTCCCATTTAAGTTTGAAGAAAATGTTCCACGTTTAAGGGTGGCTAAACACTTAAACTATAAATCCGGTTTCGCGCACTTTCCGGTAACCGATTTCAATGAAACTTTTGAGGTCGCCTCTTTTGTAGTATTCTGTATTGAAATTATTATTATACAGTTTTTTCCATTTTTAACCGACTTCAAAAAAGGAGGAGGTTCTCAATTCGACTATGTTCTTTTTTTTTTGTATGTATGTTACGCGATAACTCCGGTATTTGTGAACCGATTTTCATGATTCTTTTTTGTTGGAAAGGGGGTATTTCCATAGTGGTCCCATTTCATTTTGAAGAAAATCATCCACCTCAAAGGGTGGCTGTTCACGCATGAAGATTCATTTTTATAAATAGCGCCGAACTTTAATTTAGGAGCAATTACTTTTAGCAATTATTTAGTTGATTTTGCTATTTCATCAATTCAAGGCGTTTTTCCCTCGATATACTTTGAGCAGTGTCGTAGTGACAACCTATTTTTATTATCTCCAGTATCAAGTCCTGTATAGTGGCGAACTAGGGGATATTTCAATGAAACTTAGCAAATACACGTAATTCCACGTACTTTTGAGGTAGGTTTTTTTAGTACTCTGTACTGAGATTATATTCATCTTTATTTATATTTATTTTACAAGCGTATCTAAGCAATATCATAGGCTGCAATCACTAACTGCTTTTAAATTGTTAAGCCTTTTGCGTATTTTACTCCTTCTTTAAACAAAAAACAGATAAAAAATGCATTCATAAAGTCTCCAACCTGTACAGCTGCATTGCGTACTTTGGCCCCGAGTTGTAACAGCAGTCTTGTTTATGATATTAGTGATGGGAAGAGCAAGTCGTGCACCTGGTAGTAAGCGACACACCTACCCATAACAGTCGCAGTGTGAAATGGAACTTCAAACCGTGAAGACCTAGAATAGGTGGCAATGCCAATGCGCCCGCTACCTTGAAACTTAAAGTTGAAAGTCCCATGGGCCTGTAATTTCACCAGTACCCTTACCAGATTACAGTAGTGCTTACATTACTGTTTGGCGGCAAAAATAGGTTAGGTTAGGTTATGGAGATGTGTAGTTATATGTTCTTTTTGTTATAAAAATTTGTTATTTGAAGTGGTTCAATATAATAATAATTGGTGTTAGTTTTAGTGGATCCTATGTAAATAAGTTGTCATGGAAGTGAATAAGGTTTTTATCTATCTATCTTTATCTAAGGAGCTCTTCTGCTACTAAGCCTTTTTCGCACTACGTACTCCAAGCCTTTTAAGAACATTCTCGATTATATCTGATTTTGTGGCTACTCTACTTTAATTAATCCGCTTCATATGTCCATCAACATAGACGTATTTTTCTATTTTTCACTATGTCCTGTATCAAACCCCATCGCTCACGGGTCACAGTTTTCGTCATTCTATCACATTATCATTGCGTGTTTTTAAACACTACTTGTTTTACCCGTGATAGCCTAGGTTAGGCTATCACGGGTTAGGCTACAACGGGTAAACCATCTTGGTCTTTTCGCGGCAGAAATAATTGGTGTCAGTGCTTCCCTGGACGAACACTTTCACAAGGAGCTGTCACAGGACAGCTCCTAAAAACTTATGCAGCAATGGAAATGTTGTGAAGGTGGAAGTTATGGAATAATTACTGTTTCAATAACAATATTGCCCTATTTGTAAACGGCATTAATAAACAAACGTTTTGACAACTGTTATACTGATACTTTGTGAGTTCTGCTCCATTCATTGGTGCTACAAGAAACTTTTATGTTTCAATAAAACAATACAGTAAAAAAACGACTTAAATATGTACAAAGATCTAATTCATTTTGTGTAGCAATTGTAAATGTGCTTGTGAAAAGTAGATAAACGTGACAGTGAGTAGAAGGATTGGACACTAACACATCGTCGCGTTTAAAAAACCCCTCATCGTGTTCATTGCGGTTCTGACATCGCCACGCGCGCATGTCGAAGGTTATCACAATGTTTTTTTCGTCGTATTTTATTCTGTGTGTTATTTTTGTGGCGAAAATCAATGCTGGTGCATTCAAAGCGCTTTTATACTCGGATTGGATAAATTGTAAGTAAAATTTAGTGAAAAAAACGTCTTTCTGCAAAGTTTTCATTAATTTAAATGGTAAAGTTACTCCGTTATGTGTTGTTTGCGTCTGTCGACAAATCAAAATTTAAACAATTACTTAGGTAATTAGGTACCAACATGTGTGAACAGTTTTATGTCATTTACCTAATTGAGTTAGTGAAGCCGTATTTATTACTGGTATTTATTATTATTTATAAAATAAATTTATGAAATAATTTAAACAATTTTGGAGCCATTTGAAATGTATGTGTCTTTAAAATGAAACGGTAAGGTTATAATAGTAGGGAAAATGTGTTTAGTACAATTTGTGACATCAGCCTGAATAATCTTGTATCTCGTTGAGAATGAATCACCTCAAGGACGACGATTGTTTGCAAACAGAATTGGTCTAATGATTCAAACAAATTACTAATTGTTTCGTTTACACTAGTGACAGTGCAAATTTTTTCATCTGGCAACATGAATGAATGTAAGTTATAACAATTTTGAAACACAAATAACTCATTTTTATTATAAAAATTTTCGGTTACGCTCATTCTTGTTGCAGATGGCGTTTTTGTGAATACTACCGTACCGAAATATCTGTGAACCTGTCAAAAAATGCAACTCCGAAAACGTTGGTTGAAATAAACATATGTCCGGAAACGTAGGAAATAACAAAACGAAAATCTCTCGAATGATGTTTTTGTTACTGTGGCGGCAGTACTGAACAGGTATAAACGCGGTGACAATGTGAGACGGGAGCGAGGCACACTTATAGGTATCTTGATCGGGTTGTGACATCATTATCATTAACGGTACACAAATATTTCGACGAGGTTGTAGGTACGTCATATCGTTATCATCGGGTATTGACCTTCCCTACCTCGTGACACGTACCATGATTTTACCTTACCTATGACCTATAACTTAGTGTTTACATTCTCTTGTACGAACGCTTCCGGAACAATAATATAAATGTAGACAGTGGTTACAGTGTAAACAATAATTGATTGTCTGTTAGAAGCCCGAAGCCAAAGGCTGAGGACTTTAATACCTCGAGTTTTATATATTTTTACCGTCCATGATACATGCAATGTTTTCCATTACTCATCTTATCAATATGGTTCTTATCCTCTAGAGGATGGAAAAACAATTCACAACGCAACAAATTATGGATTTGGCAAATGGCGGTTTTTTTTCCATAGATAATACAACTCGAACTAAAATATTGGAAAAAGCAAACACGCATACAGCCATAATGTATTGTAAAACAAAATTGCAACATTTTCACGCAGAAAATTATTAAAATCAACAATTATAAGAAATTCTTAATAATAAATTTTTAAGTAGTATGTGGCTGAATTGTAATTAAACTTCTGTTTAGATAACATTTTAAGCGAATGTTTTAATTTTGAACTTAAGTACCTAAGAACTTGAACCTGACCTATGTAAGGAAGTATGTCGTGCTACAAATAAAAAAAAAACTCCTTACCAACCATGGCTGTAATGGAAACAAGAATGGCCCGTGGGTTTTATTAGGGACATTATAGTCAAGTTAGCGCTGGCTAATAATAATGCAATCATATCATTTACGAGCAAGTGTGAAGAAATAATATGTTTCATCTAAATTATACATAGTTATCAACGGCATCGTAGTAAAAGAACGCTCTCTGTGGTGTGAAAAGGGGAAAGTTTTGAATGGTTTGGTGGAAAGGAAGGAAGGTAGTAGACGGCACTGCACAGAGCAAATATGGATGGAACCGCTAGGAGAGGTAGACCTTGACGTGCATATCTTGATCAATTGAGGACGACCTTAAAAAAGGTCAGATCAAAAGTATCAAGAATAAACAGGCATGTATGAAGAGACTGTTGCGATTGGTGGAGGCGAAAGAGGCTCTGTTTGGCGTGTAAATGCCACATTATTATTTAAGTTGTACCTACAGGTCAGAAATATAATTTGAAAAATTTAAAGGTGTTCACCACAGTATTATCGTGTTATATTGAAATAACCTTTATTAAATGCAGCACTACGTATACTTTTATTTAGCATCGCAGATTGGTATCTCGATTATAGGAGTTTATGTGTTATTGATGGTAGGTAAACACCTAAGTGTTTAGTAGTTACAGGTATGTTTCACTGAAAAGTGGTGAAATTTTGGCACATGTCGCTATATTTGTATTATTCTAAAATCGCTGAATAGTATACTAAAGCTGTTGAATACATAGTCAACCAATCAGAGGGCCTACATTATTGTAAGAGCGTACCTAATAAATCTATTGCTATCTCGCTAGTATAAAGATACGCGTCACGTGGTCCAAAAGAACAAAATGTCCGTCGCAACGAGCAGACGTGACGTATGTAGCTACAGGATTATGAATATGAAATTTTTGAATTTGAGGCACATTAAATTTGTTCGAATAACTATACAACAGTCGTGATGGTGTGTCGTACACGACTAATTACCTATTCTAAATAATTAGTCGTGTACGGACAACTAGTATATAAATGGAAGTTAATTGATTTGCTATTCCGCGAACCCTGTACTTGTGTATCCCTGTACTTATGATTTAAATCCAACTCTATGCCGCTTACGATAAGAACGGTCCAAAGTACAAAGTGTCAAGCTTGACGAGCTCGTGACTGGATTAGTTGTCCGAAATAAAGATTTGTTATTAGGTTAGATGTAGGTACCCTGTTCTAAATTATTTATTGAAAAAATCTAAGTAGTTAGTAGCAACTGACCTCCTTGTGAAAGAGTTCGTCTGAAAATACTGTCACCCTACCTAATTTCTGCCGTGAAGCAGTAATGTCAGCAATGTCAATTACTGCGTTTCGGTTTTGAAGAATATGAGTGCTAGTGAAATTACAGTCATATGGGACTATGTCTGAGGGTGACAGGCGCAGTAGCAGTGTCACTCAAATCTTTGCGATTTAATGTTATGCACAGGTGTGTCGCTTACCACCAGGCGCACGACTTGTTCGTTCCGTCATTTGGTATTATAAAAAAGCGGCTGAGTTTCATTTCCAATGTATAGCAATCCCGAGTACCTTATTTAGTACTTAAAGGTTCGTTCTGTCGCCTCTGAGATAGGTAAGTACTTCTGCGTTTACGTAATTGAAACTAGTTTAGTATAAGCAAACGGGTAGGTACCTACTCATCGCACTTACAATGACATAATCACGTGTTAAAAGTACTACTACTACTTATGAATTGTTTTCCTCTAATTCAATTTGTGACGTGATTAGCGTCAGGACCTGCAAATTTATTTAAATTTCGTTATTTTTACTGGGTTTCTAGGTGTTTGCGACTGTTACAAATTGGAAAAGGAACTATAGATTTTAAGGCTTTCGTGGTTAGTCACTAAATGATCCACGATATGATTTTTTTTATTGTCTCGATATTTCGGAACTGTTTAACGCTGTTTCCCGTCCATGTTTCCCACTACAGCCAGTAGTACGGTCAATTTCTTCAAGATTCTTTACTAAACGGCAAGACAAACTAGTAGAATGGGTCAGGATGCACGTTTACACAAGGCCATTGCATGAGCCAATTCAAAGCACGTGTGATGGTGGAAGGTGTTGGCTCGAAAAATCAGTAATCGTCTTAATTTAGTGGATTGTCTTTATCACTGGCCTGGAGACACTCCGTAATGTATTGTCTCTATTTGCACGACGCCAATAATTATTTGGCTTAATGGAATATGACCGTCAGGATGGCTGGTCGCCTGTCGCATCTGGCACTGAGTGTATATTCAAGAATTGCTACCTATTTGTTTGTATATTATTATTCTTTTTCTAAAAAAATTCTACCTTTGACATATTCTGAGAAATGAAAACAAAAAATTGACCAGCCATCCTGACGTCAGAATGGCTGGTCAATTATTATTTTTTTAATGTCTCAGAATATATCAAAGGTAGCAATTATTTAGAAAAGGTAGGAAATAGGTAGCAATTCTTGAATATACACGCAGTGCCAGATGCGACAGGCGACCAGCCATCCTAACGGTCACTAATGGAATGGCTCATCGATCCTTATAGTGTATGCCTTCGCTACATAACAAGATCGTCTTCTCAGACGGTCCATAGGTTTCCCCACGAAGTGTTGCTACCGTGAAAACAAAGCAAGTTGAAATAAGCAAATTTTTATTTAAAATTACAACCCTATGATTTGTTTCAGGCGATCACAACAGAACGCTCGACCTCGATGTCAGCCAAGTGCAAGTTTTTTTCTACGATTTCGAGAACAACTTCAACATCACTTATCAAATCGATAGTGCTGCCCACGGCATCACCAGCAACTATAACCTGGACGTCAGTCGCAAGCTCGTATTCTTCGTACCAGGATACAAGTCCCATATCAGTAAAAAGACGGAGGAGTTGATCAGGCAGACTTTCAGCAATGTCCCGAACATTTACTTGATCATTATCGACCATTCTGCCTATACTTCTGCTAGAGGGGGCAAGATTGAAAGCTATGAACGATCCGTATATTATACTTACTACATTGGTACTAAATTAGGGAAACTGTTAGCTGATTTTCACGCTAAAGGGTATCCTTCGAAGAATATACACGCTATAGGCCACAGTCTTGGCAGTCAAATGCTCGGTTTTGCTGGTACGGCGTACACGGCAGCCACTAATGAGAAAATCTGGAGAATTACGGCTTTGGATCCAGCAGGACCGTGTTTTTCAAATAGCCTTATTGACGACCAGATTCGTTCAGGACTTGCCGAGTATGTAGAAGTTTATCATTGCAATTCTGGAGGCTTAGGTACGACAAGTGTTTTGGCTGATGCGGATTTCTTTCTCAACAAAGGAAACAAGCAACCTCCTTGCCATGAGGGGTTTCTTCCGGGGTTAGGGGAGTCCGATGCTGCAAAATGTAGTCATAAAAAATGCGTGGAGTATTGGGTTAGGACCGTTCACGTACCCAATTGGTATTTGGCATGGAAATGTGACTCTTATGAACATTTCTCTAAGGGTCGGTGTGCCGGCAACGAAGTGACCATAGCGGGGTATTGGAACCCAGGGAATGCGACTGGCGTGTTTTACGTCTCGACGGGAATGTTTGGTGTAGAATAACTATTGCTATAGGATCGATGTTTTGTACAGTGTTGTGTTATTATTAAATAAGAAAAAAAATACAATGAGAAGTTATTTACTATAGGAAATGAAACTGTCTGACTCAACAGTCAACCGTGACCTTGGGACCTGCAAAGGGTCTGAAACGTCGGTTTGTTTGAAAAAACAAATATACGCGATTTAAATCCGGAAAAATAGTTTCATTTCCTATGTGTAACAATCGCGAAAACCTAAGAACTCGATAAGTTATTTACTAATTCGATTATAGGAACAAGGTTACGTGTATGCTACGTCTATGACTGTAATCAACCTTAGTTTTGGTTCACACGTACAGAAATTACGCTAAATTCATTACCCAACATACATACTGTCACGTAATTAGTCAATTGTATCTGTTATTCGATTTCTAAAAGCGGTGGTAACGAACGGTTGCTTTCAAATTGAGAATTCGACAGTTCGAATCCAAGTGACAGCATGTACCTATGCCTTTAATGTCTAAGTTAGTTTAGTAGTAAATTGTTAGTAGCATTACCTCTCGTAAATGTTGAACGATATAACTTCGTGGTCACCTCAAAATGTCGAAGAAAATAACTCTTGGAAAACTTGTGAAATACTCAATCCGCATTACTTCATGGTGGGTCAAGGTATAATTTTCTCAAAGACAACATGAAGCGGAAAATATTTATTATTATATTTAAATATTTACGCGTTTATTTAAGTTGAGCGTTGAGATTTTCCTGTTCTTACAACAAGCGCACTTTTTCCCGTAACACAATGTTATTCACAATCGTGTTATATCGCATTAATTTTATCGTGCTTTGATATTTCCTTAAATTATTTATATGTGCGAAGCCGAATCATAGATCCCTCATATGTTGTGAAATATTTAAGAACTACTTAAGTATTATTTTACCATAGAATTAGTATATATATACTAAAGCTATGTGTTTTGCAGAAAACATTAACAATACGAACGTTTATGTCACGGGACTAGAAAGTTAAAATAGTATTTATTATGTTAGTAGTAACAATATATAAACAGCGTTCCCATCATCGAGTTGTTAGGCGTCTCGAGCCCTTTACGGGTCCCATCCATGGTCACGTCAGCCTGAGACGTTGGTTTGTTTGGAAAAACTGCATCCAGAACCATACTATTCAACAGCAGAACTGTCCTATTTGGGCTCATTAAAAGTCCGACGGTATAGTTGGCTTACAGATGTTGATATAAGAGCACATTGTTTTGTTATAGTTTTTTTTTTTATTTAATTAGTATTGTCTGGATGTTCTTTGTAGATCAGTAATTTCTCTAATTTAAGTCTTTGTTTACGGAGTTTTTACACATAATTTATGTGATTTTTGATGTATAGTGTGAGTTAATTTATATTGTAAATTTTTTCCCAACTTCAAAAAAGGAGGTTTTCAATTCGACAGTGTTTTTTTAGTGTCTGTTATGCGATTCCTCGCATTTGTGAACCGATTTTTGATAATTATTTTTTTTATTGGAAAGAAGGTACCTCGTTATTGGGCCCACTTAATTTTGAAGAAAATATTCCTTTAAGGGTAGCCAACTAGGGGATGAATTCGGTTTCACGCAATTTTCGGTAACCGATTTCAATAAAACTTGTCAAATAAATGTAATTCCAAGAACTTTAGAGGTCGTTTTTTTTTATAAAAAATAATAATCTACCTAGGCCATATTAGTGAATAAAGTGTATAATCAACCTCTAATAATATTTTTTTTCTAAAGTCATAAGAAAAAACATTTTTGGTCCATCATTATGGATAAAAATATCAAACAAACACAAAGAAAATTTCCATCACTCCGACTGGACTCGTACTCACGTTGAAGCAACAGACGCTGGTTCGAGTCCAGTCAGATCTTATGCTGACCTTTGTATTAATAAGATATTCAACAAAAATAAAATTAAATTTTCAAGGCATTAAATGAGGGTATTAATGACTTCCGCGAGTGGCTTGCACGCCGGTTTTCATGGTGTCGCCATCTCTGAGGTGCCGGGTTCGATCCCCAGCCGGAACCCCTAGAGTTTCTTGCTCATTCTTCTTACGGGAATCTGCCTTTCGAATGAGCGGTAGGGTTTAACCAATGTGACGATTTCAAGTGTAATAATGCTTACCTAAGAGATATTATTTTCATTTTTGATTTTGGACAGTGTAGACAAAACTAAATTTTCTATTTTGTCTCCGGTCTGGGTGTGTGTGGTATCATCGTTGTTTGCGATTTCCAGAACACAAGTACTTTAGTTACTTACTTTGGGATCAGACCAAATGTGATGCTGTCTTTTTTTTTTTTTTGACTCTTACCTGCGAATTACGTATAGAACAGAAGAGATGGAGTGAGAGATAAAAGGTCTCTCTCTCACTCTAAAGCTCCTAGTAGCAGTAGAGCTCCTTGTGAAAGAGTTGGCCCAGAGAAGTGCTGCCATCTTACCTGTTTCTGCTGCCAAGCAGTAACGTCAGCATTACTGTGTTCCGGTTTTGAAGGCTAAGGGTGCTAGTGAAATTACAGGCATATGCCTGCCACAGGTCTATCCGGTCTATCTCAGGGTGACGGGCGCAGTGGCAGTGTCTTGGCAAGATCTTTGCGATTGAAGGACTATTCACACACATCAGGGCCGTGTTCGGGACGTGGACATGTGGACGGACCATACTAGTTTGTATGAACTCGGACAAGCACACGTGTTAACGAATTTATACAAAATATACGTAGCGATATTTTTTTGAGCCCCTGACGGAGCTCGTTCTGCCCACGTCTCGGGCACGGCCCTGATGTGTGTGTGTAGTCCTTATAAGCTCTGAGTGGCACTGCAAATGTCATGGATAGGCGAATCGCTTACCATTAAAAATATTAACAATTACCGCCTATTCAATTAACAGCCTCATATCTTTCTATATTAGTTTTGATTACAGTGATTCTCCCGACCGACCCTTAGGGTTTACGAGAAGGGTACTGTAACCTGTGCGCCCATAGGAACCTTATAAGTTCAGGTTCTGACCCCAGATCAGCCAGTGTACAGGGTTGTCACTAACCTCTGTCACTTGACTTCATCCGGTTCTCTGAGAGGCTAGTGCCTCGGGTGAGCCGCCCCGGGAGCACGTACAGTAGCCTCCCAATTTTTTAGATAGGTAGCGGAGCGTTAGGCACGCTCACTTCCCGTTGCGCAATGCTCCACTAGCGCTTGCCACCTCTAAGCTGTCGACTCTTAGTCCGTTACCAAATCTCCTCATTGGTGGCGAAGCTGTAAGGCACGCACACTTCCCGACGCCGAAAAACGATGTCTATCTAGTTCCCAATAACCTAAGCAGCTGGAGGGATCGGAGGATATCTACCTTATCCTCTACTAGCTCTTCGGGCTAGTGCCGGATATGCCAGTCGCAGTATCCTGCGACAATGTCCGTCCATAGCTTCCAACTTAAAGGGCAACTCACGTGTCTCGCGCGTCTCCTCGCTTCAGGCCCGCTACACAGACGCGCTAGCTGCGTACGAGACAGACGCCCCGGCCACAAACCACCGGGGCAGACAAACATACCCGTCTCTGCAACTAACCACACAACCCCAGCTAGTCCATACCCAAGTCCGGGTCCACCAGAGACGCCCGCGAAGGCGTATCACTGGCGGAGGGCTAGTGCCCTGGTCTTGCCGTCGAGCCCGTAGTCTGTCCG